GCGCCTTCCTCCTCCTCATTCTTTCTCCACCCCTGCAAACGCCTGGACCCTTTCATAAAGGGAAGCAGTGTGCTGTGCAAAGACGCAGGACGAGGGAAACGCCAGCCTCCCGCTGCACGTTCAGAACCAGCTACCCATCCCATGCCCCTTGGGGGGACACGAAGGGCTGATGGCTCTGCCGGTGACAATCACTAGTCTCCCACGACTCCCTCTTGGGGGCTGTCCTTCTGATGAGGACCACACAGCCCCCCATAAATACCCAACAGCAGTGGGAAAGATGGCGCCGAGAAGTGAATACGGATACAAAGTCTCCCCTCAGGGCCCACATCCAGCACCCGATGTGCACCATGGGAAGGGCCCAGTGGCTTCTCGGGACCCATGTCACCAGGGGCCCTTCCCACTCAGGTCTCTGGACATTGCTTTTATCCTCTGAAGCCCAGGAAAGACTGAAGCCAAATTACAAATCAAAACAAATCTTCGACAGATCCGCAGCATTCCAGGGTTCGGGGGTGTCTCTCTTGATCTTTGGCATGGTGTAGGAGTGTCATTTATTGTATTTATATGGAGTCAAACTGATGAGAACCACTGTAAACTGATGCTAATTTATAAATGCAATGGCATCGTCTGGTATCAAGTAGACCTAGTGGTGTAATGGTTAAGTACTTAGCTGCTCATTAAAAGGTCGGCAGTTCAAACCCACCCAGTGGGTCTGTGGAAGAAACACCTAGTAATCTGTTTCTGTAAAGATTACAGCCCAGAAAATACTATGGGGCAGCTCTACCCCGTCCCATGGGGTCACTATGAGTCGAAAACTGACTTGGTGGCATCCAGCAACAACAAAAGTCTGGTCTCTGACCTCAAATTTCAGCCTCACGGAGGCCTCTGGAGAAGGCTCTCTTCTTGCTCAGGATGGAGAATTCCAGAGCTGTCATCATCATTAAGTTAGGAAAGTGACTATTTCAATCAGCAGAGACCACATCAACAATGAGATTACCGAGCACAGAAAGGATGTTTTCGATGTCCTTGTGCCTGACTGCTAGGACGCTGAAGCTTACAAGGTTTCTGTAATTGATGAGAGAGTCATGGTTCTGCATAGGCAGTTTTCAATTGCAAACTGCACAGGTTGATATAAACTGCCGGAGCACATACAAGATTCAAAGAAGAAAGAAGAAGCGGAACAGAGGGCTGAGCTAACGTGCTCTTCTCAAGGCGAGGAAGT